AACCGGACAACAGGACGATTTCTAGATGGCAGAAAGAAAAACTTAGAATGAAAAGGGGATGAAGGATCCTAAAGGTTAAGAATGAATGCATGCAATGCAATGCCATGAAAATATGTTCAAAATGCACCTAAGAAACAAAATGAAGCAAAAGAAAAGAAGATTAAGAACAAACACAAAATATGTACTTTTGTAACTAAATAAAGGTACGATCAGACTTTACATCAATAGGGCTTCGATCATTGATACCTTGGCAACCATCCTGTTTCCTTCCACATATCACGGACTCTCAATGTGAGGAAGACCCGAAACGGTGTAACCCAATAATCCAACCAAAGTTTTATTTAATCTTACCTTACTAAGCTTTATGGGCGAAAATAACATAGTCCGGATTTTCATGTCCTTAAGACTAGATGGCAAGAATCAGAATCGACGCCTCCTTAAGAACCCGTCACGGCGAATCAGCTTTCGCTGAAACAGTGAGCCCACCGAAGGGGCTCAGCTCCTATGCTTTCACTTTTCGAGAGCCACAAGTATATATCACACAGTTCTTCATTCGCCATATTTGACTTGAGTTGGCTTTTGATTTGATTGAGCTTTGATTTGTACTTCGTTTTGAATTTGGATTCTTCAATCTTCATCTTTGGAATTTCTTTGGATTTATTCGTTTTGGCATTTGAAATTCTGATTAGGGTACTGGATATGACAGTTGTACCCTTCCTTCATTCTTGACTGTGTGGGTCTGATACATAAGCTCTCTGTTACCGCGGGGGTAACGCGTGTCAACAAATAGGTCCGTGTTCTGTGGGTTCAGAGTTGCCGATAAAGATTCTTTTTAAACATTCAAAAGCAAATCATCCTAAAGCTGTTATTACCGCCCAAAAAACGTTTCAATATAAAAAAAAATTATTATCTGAGGGTAGGGTCTCGAATTACGGTATTTGGGTCCCCTAGTTATGACAGCTAATTCTATGCTTCCGGTAACAATCCGGTTGCTTCGGTATTTTTCATTTCATGGAGCAATTGTATGTAAAGAGTGTCATCATCTCGTACACTTTTTTTTTTATGAAATTTGAATGAAATTTGAAAATAAGAAAATTTGAAAATAAGAAAATGCATGCATGAGAATGAGTGAACCTTTTTAAAGAAAAAAAAATTGAAAATAAGGAAAAATAAGAGTTTTAAGGAAAACTTTGAAAATAAGAAAATGCATGCATGAGAATGAATGAACCTAAAATACAAGTCTACCCCTGCCCAAGCTTAAAGATAAGCATCGTCCTCGATGCTTGGAGAGGGTGGAACAACCTAGAACGGAGGTGGAGGAGGAGGATAGTAGCTGGGGTTTCGGGTCCAAGCCCAGAAGTCCTCCTCATATTTTCGTTGACGCTCTTGATCCCGAGCGTACTGGGTGGTGAAGGTGGAAAAATTCTGGGTCTGGCTGGTAATATCCTGCTGATAGGTGTCGAGGCGGGTATGGATTGATTGGAATTCGTCCATATATTGTTAATGATAAAGCGGGGGTGCAACAAAATGGGATGAGCTGCCACCACCGGTGGGAGAAGCATGGTGAGGCTCCTCCTCTTCTTCATCATCATCACCATCTTCCTCGTTTTCTTCGCTTTGCTCATCGACCTCGGTGGAATAAGAGTGGGGGAAGATTATGGAATGATTTGCCAATCAGTCATATGAATGGATTTCGGAAATCAAGAATGCCTTTATTTTCTAGTGTGATGAGGAGCTTGGGATCATGATTTTGACCCACGGTCCAATGGTGTGTACCATCGCCTGCCGAGCGGAAGAGTCGCATGGACTCAAGGACAGTGGTGGTGAGATAAGGCTCACGCAGTGGCTGTGGGGGGACCAGGGTATGGGGCTCGGATGTGGGCGCTCTTGGCGAGCATGCTGACAATACCCCCGCAAACAATCTTTCCCGATCAGGATGCGCTAAGGCGGATGAGCTTGTGGCACAGAAACCGACCATAATGAGGAATGAGGTTATTCTTGGGATGGGTCATTGCATAAAGGATTTTAAGTTCCAGCGCGCCAATGGTGCTTCGCTCCTCTCTAGGGGTGACGAGCGAAGCAATGATTCTGTGAGCTACCTTAATCACAGGATGGATAAGTGATGAGGCTTTAGCAGCGCTAGAGACATATGGATGTAATTGGGTGAGCTGGGTCCACCAAGTCATGTCATAGTATCCTTGGATTGGATCAGCGGGGCCAAATGTGTTTTCCGTTGGGGCTCCCACAATGGCATTGATTTGATCCAAAGAGATCTCATAGTCTTGATTCATTAGACGGAAGTAGAGGATCCCATGATCTAAATAAACTGAGGATAGAAACTTAGCAGTTGGGACTTTATAGCTCAATTCATGGACCCTCAACAAGCCGTGCCACCCTATGTTGCGAAACAGGGTTTTGACTTTATTGTAAACATGCAACTCTTTCAAGGTTGGAACATGCACGAATTTTTGGATGGCATGACCTCGTTTGAGGAATGACTCAAGTTTGCCCTGTTGAACTGGGCCAAGACATACGACACCAAAATGAGACGGGTCGGCTGGGGGTGTTGGGGACCTAGATGGAGGTGAGGGAGATCTGGATGGAGGTGATGGAGATCTAGGCTTCCGACGGCGGGCGGATGATTTGGTTTGTCTTGGTCTTTTGGAAGATGTAGCTTCCATAGTCAAGTTTGGGACAGATTAAAAGTCAACGGGTCAAAATGTCAAAAAGTCAACTGTTGACGGGTCCAGTCAACTTTGAACTTGGCCACCAAAATTTCGCGGGAAATTTGGTTTTCAAAGATTTCCAACTAAGAATCAAGTCCAAATAGACCACACTTTCAAGTATTTGACTCAAGAACACAAAATTCAAAGGTTAGGAGTTGGAAAGAATTTACCGAATCGTGTGTTGGATCGTGTTGTTCTTGATGGAAAAGATCTTCTTTAACCTCCCCAAGCTTGCCCCTTTCAAGATTGAGACACTAAAACACCAAAATTCAAGTGAGAATTTTCGGATCTAGGGTTTGTCAAAACCCCCAAATCCACCATTAAAATGCAAGAAAATGGTGTTTAAGATGGAGAAGATGAAGTGTAGATGATGAAAATCAAACCTTTTTGTAGATGAAAGTCAAAATCTTGAAGAAATTGAAAGGTATTTGATGAAAATCGGACCTAAGGTTTTTGTTGGGAGAGAGGGGTTGTTAGGAAGTGAAAGTGGGGATAAATGAGTCAAATCCCGATTTTTTTCTTTAAAAAGAGGGGTAACTGCTGCGCGACACGACCCGTGTCTCAGCAGGCAAAATTGACACGCCCCGTGTTGGGGGTTTATGCTGAGATATAGTCGAACACGACCCGTGTTGGGTCAAGGCCAAAATCAACACGACCCGTGTTGCTCTCTGGAAGAATTTGGACTTTTTTCATTAACACGACCCGTGTTCATTAAGGCTAAAATGGGACACGACCCGTGTTGCTCTCTGGAAGATTTTGGGACTTTTTTTCATTAACACGACCCGTGTTCCATTAAGGCTAAAATGGGACACGACCCGTGTTGCTCTCTGGAAGATTTGGGACTTTTTTTCATTAACACGACCCGTGTTCCATTAAGGCTAAAATGGGACACGACCCGTGTTGGTCCCTGGATGCTAATCCCCACTTTTTGAATTTGAAAATTTCCCTCTCTCGGAAATGAAGTACTTTTCCACCCCAAGGTCCGTTCTTTTGGTTTGAAAACAATGACAAAACACATTTGGAACACTAAAAAAAATAAGAATGCAAAGAACGAAATGTTTTAGCGAAAAATGACGAAATACCCCCGGGTTGCCTCCCGGTTAGCTGCCCTTGTTTTAGGTCGTTGGCTCGACTTTGTCCCCCAGGCGTGATTCATTCTTGGTATGTGGGGTTCTCCAACTCTTCTACCTCTTCATTCTTCACCTCAAATCCCTCATAAAACGGCTTCAACCTGTGACCATTGACTTTGAATGTTTTACCCGTTTGCTTGCTCGTGACTTCCACTGCACCATGGTCAAACACCCTTGTGACTACGAAAGGACCGACCCATCTTGATCTTAACTTTCCTGAAATTAGCTTGAATCTCGAGTGATAAAGCAACACCTTTTGTCCTTGTATAAAGGTCTTTCGGGAGATTGCTCTGTCATGATATGCTTTTGTTTTCTCCTTATAGATCATGCTACTTTCGTATGCATCATTCCGAATCTCTTCTAGCTCTTGGATATCCAGTTTCCTTTTATTTCCCACCTCATCTTCAGTCAGGTTGAATTTCTTTCCCGCCCAAAAAGCTTTATGCTCAAGCTCAACTGGGAGATGACATGCTTTACCAAACACAAGCCGATATGGGGACATACCAATGGGAGTTTTAAAAGCAGTACGGTATGCCCATAAGGCATCATCTAGCCTCAAGCTCCAGTCTTTGCGGTTTGGGTTGACTGTTTTCTCCAAGATACTTTTGATTTGTCTGTTTGAGACTTCTGCTTGTCCATTGGTTTGGGGATGGTAAGCCGTTGAGACTTTGTGTGTCACTCCATATCTCTTCAAAACAGCTTCTAGCATCCGATTGCAAAAATGGGTCCCGCGGTCACTTATGAGCGCCTTTGGTGTGCCAAACCGTGAGAAAATCTGTACCTTAAGGAAATCAACCACAACTTTTGAATCATTAGTACGGGTGGCCTTAGCCTCCACCCATTTGGACACATAGTCCACTGCTAACAAAATATAAGAGCAACCAAAAGAGGGTGGAAATGGTCCCATAAAGTCAATGCCCCATACATCAAAAATTTCACATACTAGAATAGGGGTAAGGGCATTTGATTTCTAGAGCTTAAGGACCCAGATTTTTGGCATTTTTCACAATGTGCACAAAGTACATAGGAATCATGGAAAATAGAAGGCCAAAAGAATCCGCTATCTAAAACTTTCCTAGCTGTCCTTTGGGGTCCAAAGTGACCACCACAAGCATAGGAATGACAAAAATTAAGGATAGATTGTACCTCTTTTTGCTCAACACACCTGCGAATTACTTGGTCCGCACAGTACTTCCAAAGTAAGGTTCATCCCATATGTATCGTTTGGCTTCTTTTTTGATTTTGTCTCTTTGCCAACGGGATGAATATGGGGGAAATTAACTTGTGACCAAGTAGTTGACGATATCTGCATACCATGGTGCCTCTTTGGCTGCAAATAGATTCTCATCCGGAAATGTGTCACAGATGGGTATACCATCTTCGGGTGATACGATGCGACTTAGATGATTCGCAACCAGATTTTCCTTTCCACTCTTGTCTTTGATCTCAATATCGAACTCTTGCAAAAGCAGCATCCACCGTATTAACCTCGGCTTTGAGTCTTTCTTTGTAAGCAAGTGCTTTATGGCTGCATGGTCCGAATATATGATCACTTTAGTTCCAAGGAGGTATTGTCGAAACTTCTCCAAAGCAAAGACAATAGCAAGCAACTCTTTCTCTGTTGTGGTGTAGTTGCCTTGTGCCCTATCAAGGGTCTTTGATGCATAGTAGATGACATGATGTGCTCGGTCAACCTTTTGTCCCAAAACTGCCCCAACCGCGGTATTGCTAGCATCGCACATGATTTCGAATGGAAGATCCCAATTTGGCGGTTGAATAATGGGGGCGGATGTCAACAAATCTTTCAAAAGGTCAAATGCCTTTTTGCATTCATCACCAAACTCAAAATCAACCTCCTTTTGTAGAAGTTGACACATCGGTACCGTAATCTTGGAGAAATCCTTTATAAACCGCCGATAAAAACCTGCATGGCCAAGAAAAGAACGTACTTCCCGAACATTTGTCGGGTATGGTAAGCTCTTAATAATATCTGTTTTGGCCTTGTCAACTTCTAAACCTTTCTGGGACACCATATGTCCAAGTATCAAGCCCTTGTCGACCATAAAATGACATTTTTCATAATTAAGGACTAAGTTCGTATCAATGCACCTTTGTAAGATTTTGGTGAGATTTTGCAAACATTCATTAAAAGAGTTTCCATAAACAGTAAAATCGTCCATGAAAACCTCTATGATATTTTCGACATATTCTGAAAATATGCTCACCATACATCTTTGGAAGGTTACGGGTGCATTGCACAAACCAAAGGGCATGCGTCTATACGCAAAGGTGCCGAAGGGACATGTGAATGTGGTTTTCTCTTGGTCTTCCGGGGCAACCGGAATTTGATGAAAACCAGAGAAACCATCAAGGCAGCAGTAATGGGATTTCCCGGCCAATCGTTCTAACATCTGATCAATGAATGGCAAAGGGAAGTGGTCTTTGCGGGTGGAAGCATTCAGCTTTCTATAATCGATACAAACTCTCCACCCATTTTTCACACGGGTGGGTACCAATTCCCCTTCGGAGTTTTTGACCACGGTAACTCCAGCTTTTTTTGGGACTACTTGCACAGGACTCACCCACTTACTATCAGAAATAGGATAGATTACACCTGCATCCAAGAGCTTCATGATCTCCTTTTTTACCACCTCCATCATAGGTGGCTTCAACCTCCTCTGTGCTTCACGGGTTGGCTTGAAGTCCTCTTCCATCAATATTTTGTGCATGCATAATGATGGGCTCAACCCTTTTATATCCGCAATAGTC